ATAAAATCCTCTATTTAAAATCCATAAAACATTTCCATATCATAGCAAAGTCCATTTGTCAGTTTCCACCCATTACATTCTAATGACAGAGAATAAAAAAATAACTCACCAGCATCTGAAAGTGTAGTCCAGAGATAGATCTTAGATATTAATAAAACAAAAAAAGAAAAAAAAAGTAATCCAAAGAGGAGAGTAGGAAAAAAAAAACCCTTCCTCTTCTAAAGTGATCTAAGACACCAGACTGCAGCGCTAATGTTTCTCATTCATGAGGCTCTCTGCATTTGTAAAGCATGATGTTTCCCAGCCACCTTCGCTGCTCTACTCACTGGCTTTCCCGCGGTGGAGACCAGGAGAGGCAGGAGGAACAGTGTACGGGGCTCTCGTGGTTAATCTTCCGAACTCCCCCTATCCAGGGGAGTATTTTGAAGGTCTTCTCTCCTCTAGACCCACCGCTGATCAAATGCAGCTTGGGTGCCCCCGGAGCTCCGAGAAACGCATCAGCACGCTGTCCTGTCTGGGTGGAAGTGTGTCCTGAATAATTATGAAGATTTTAATGGAGAATGCATAATAATTTTCAATAGATATTTACTTAAATTCTCATTCCACATAAATATAGATTATAAAATAAAAGCTCAGTGATGTTTTTGAAAGTCTAGTAAATTAAAACTTCCTTCATCAAAAAATAATTTCCACTTAGTGAAGAATGTTCTTGGTGACTTACCTTCACAAATAAATTTCTAATGGTTACAATTGCTAATAGTTCAAGAATTAAATAAAAAATCTATGGGGAAAGTGGTTAACCCTAAATGGTGTGACCTTGTAACTCAGTTGCTCCAGAAATGGATTCATTATTACTCTTCCTATTGGTTGCAAATAATAAATTATATTTAATTAAAAAAAAGATGAGAATGTATGCCTTTAGAAACTAGAAATCCTTAACTTGCTTTAGAATTTAACCATGTCAAAAGCTTTAACATGCTTGTTTATTTTTGATAAATTCCAAACAGCGTGTTCCAAACAGCAAATACTTGCAGTATAGTTTGTCAAATGGGACATTTTTTCATGCTGCAGTGTATATAAATGGTTGAAAGATATGCTTTGCGTTCAGCATTGATTGTCCATTGTCAGTACCATGCTGAATCCATAAAAGCTCTATGGCCTAGCTTGTTACCTCTGCCACTCGAGAGTACATGCCAGGTTCAGTGGGGAAAAGAAGGGATCAGAACATGTCCAAATGTAGATTAAAGCATCCCTATGCATGGTTTTCCAAAATGGTGAAGGGGCACTTTGTCTGAAACCAAAGTTAGATGGTTCTGTCTGTTGGAATTGTAGCTGCAGATGCCAAGACATGTGCTAGAGGAGAAACAATCTGTATCTTTCCAACTTTAACTTAGGAAGATCTTGAAAATTTTGTCCTGCGGATGCTAACCAAGTAGTAAAGCATTACTCTTTCTTTTTAGATTTGGAAATCACTGTGCCAGTTGGACATCCTCAGATTACGTCAAAGAAACCAGAGTTTAGCATTTATGAATATAGTCCAAGGAAAAGTATTTTCCCACCAAATAAAGAGATAAAGCGAGGGGACTGGAAAACAGAAAGCGCATCAAGCACTGCAAGTAAGCAAGCAGGTAGCCAGAAAGCTATCTAGCAAGGAATGAAGATGCATACCTTTGATCTCAATAGTCTGAATAGTTGGAATTTAAACATTCCCAGCCTATAAGTTGATTCTTCTCATTAAATGTATTGTCAAATCTCTCTCTTCTTCTTGTCTGGCCCCTGTTTTAGCTGTAGCTGTCTATTTACTCAATTATTTATATCTGAGCGTTATGTTTGTATGTACTTTTATTTAATATTGACTCTTATTTTTATTATTTTATTACTATCAGTTGCATAAAATCAGTTATTGCAATTGGTCTTTTTAATTCTTTAGCCTTTTAAGTCATAATCACTCTTTTATATACTATTCTACTCTGTTCTACACAATTATACTCCCCAAAGGCACAATATTAAACAACATTTTCATTATATTCATTCTTGTGTTTAAAATCTTAAACTTATAATTTTAGTGTAATCAGTATCATAAATTCATAGTTTTTGCTAACAAAATTTTAGTCGATTTTTATAGCATATAGGGTACACTAATATTTCAGTGGGAGAGTTGTAATCCTGTTTTTCAAAGCTGTACTTTGCTGGTCAGTGACTGAAATAAAGAGACTTGGCTTGACTTTGTATTCTGCAATTCTCTACAAATATAGGCTTAGAATTCTGATCATTCTCTCCTTTCGTTTTCTTGAAGAAAAAAAAATCATTTATAACTTTAAGAGTTGTGAAGATAAGCATAAAAGTACATGGTGAGAATCTTTGAATTCCTGCCACTCATTGCCATCAGACACAGAATAAATTATGGGAAATGGTTAAATATGTGCACATATGGTTTAAATAATATAAACTGATTACAGAATGTTTTGGTGACGTTGTACAGAATTATATAGATGTTTAAATCAGAGATGTGCCTTCTGTATTGGAGTAATTTCCTTCTTTCCTCAAAATAACATACATAATTTTTTTTTAATTCACATATTAATTCAAAAGCAAAATTTTGATTTTTTGTCCTGACAGAAACATAGTAACACGCTGCCAAGAGAGAAGTAGCAAATTCCTCCCATTGTACTATTATTATAGTTTCACATTTGTAATGACTATGTTTTATGGAGATTTCTTGATTTGTTAGATTAATGTATAATACAGTGCATAACATAATATATAATGTATAAAGTATAATGTATAAATTATGCAATTTAAAAGTAACTGATTTTAAATTACTGCTTTTAAAAATTTTTGCTGCATGTTGGAGATGGTGAGCAAGGATACTGTTAATAGTTCAAGAGTGACTGAATCTTTTTAGGAAAATATTCTACTAATTAAAAATATATAATAGAACAAAATAATTGATTGTTTTTCAGAGTTGGCAAAAATGGGTGGAAATTGAAATCAGTGGACTCTGTTTATAAAATGTTTTCTCATCTAACCAGGCAGTTCAAGTAACCGATCTAGTACAAGAAGTCTACTGAGTGTCAGCAGTGGGATGGATGGTGACAATGAGGTAACTTTCTTTGTGCAGATGTTCTTTCTCTTTCTCTCTCTCTTTCTCTCTCTCACTCACACACAGACACAGACACAGACACACTTTTCTGAATGAATTCCCCACTAAGACTACAGACATTATTTTGTATTTATGTTGTAGAATGCATGAGCGGTAGGTTCTGTCCTACAGACTTAAAATCCAATATAGGCATAACTTGAAAAATAATTGTGAGATGAATAAACCTATTTATTTATTTAAAATGTCTTTTCAATGTAAGATATACAGACAAATTTATACATGCCATAATTTAGCCTTCTTTCATAATGCTCCCATCCATTCTTTTTAATACAGTCATAGAAGTCCTACAATCAACATACCAAACAATTTTAACACAGAAAGTTTAGATGACATACAAAAGACTCTCTTTGCTAATATAATCTATTTTTACAGAATTCTGACGTTTGGCATTATTTAACAGAAGTTATTGTAGGTCTTTCGTTAAGTAGTCGGATGGAGATTTTCTAGCTAAATTGACAGTGAAATACCCTAATATGTACCTTAATATTGATAATACAAAACAGTTTGACAAGCTTATAGATAAGGGGTTTGGGGATAATTTCTACATGTTTAAAGCATCATTTTTAAGGACAACTCTCCCCAAAAATTAGAGTTCCTAGTAGGAACATTTAAGGAGTTGTAATTGTAGAAATTATTCCTCATAACTTGGCATAATATTTAAAATGTTCACTTTATTAAAATGTTTATTTTTATTTCAAGTGTTTCCAATAGGTATATTCATTTTTTGTACATTCTAATAAAAACTCATGTATTTGTAATTGGCTATTTTGCAGCCAAAGCAGGAAAGTTTTTTAAATTTCTATTTTATTCTGAGACATTTCACTGACTGCTAATCTCTCCAATACCCGAGTCCCCAGTGTAGTGCCTGGGGGCAGTACTGCTATGTGCCTATCATGTTCCCTGCCCTAATTTATGGTATAAATAAAAGGTGAATGATATAGTGTGTTTAACAATACGAGCTTAACTAATCATAAGAAAAGGCTTGAGGGGAGAAAATAATGTCAGTAAAGATTTGGGGTATTTAAAGTCTTATGTGGAATTAGAAAAAATGTTATGTTACTTTCAAAAAGTAGATTTAAGATTGAATGAACATCAATGTCATCCTTACGTAGGATAATGAGATACCTGACATGAAGAGAAATGTCTGCTCTGGAAGCCCGCAGGTAGACAAGCCACTTTCCATTTCATCTGGAAGGCCTCCAAGAATACCTCCTCGAGTTGCTAGCAGGTTATATATTATTACATAATACATTTATACTGTACAAAGAATGGATTTGACAGATCCTTATTCCAAGTGGATTAATTCTAGATATAAGGAAAGTAAAAGAGATGGGAAACATGACAGCAGAGGTGATCAGGGAAACCAGTATTTAACTACAGTACATGTCCTAGACTTAATTATAGGCTATATTCCAGCAGAATCTGGAAAATCAGGACCAGTGCTCAAATTGTAATAAGAGGTTGGGATATTAGGAGGAATTTCAAAGAAACACAGGAAACAGATACGCACCCTCATCAGATATGTACCCTGGCACACAAGCAAACATGGTTCATGACTGAAAGAGGCCAATATTGATCTTGAGCCAAAATACAAAACAAATCATATGGAGGCTGCACTTTAAACCAGAAGATATTAGCTACTGAATACAAATCAAGATTGAATCCAAAGAACAGAAATCGAATCTGTAAATATATGCCTTAATATAGATTAAAGAAGTTATTTAGATTAATTATGCTTGGATTAGAGAAATACAGTGGTGGAAAAGGTATGGATATTATATAAGGAGACTGCGAGAATACTAGCAATTTGGGAGTTAAAGGTTTGGACATAACAGTAGTTTAAGATGCATAAATATAGGATTCTGTGGTGCAGGGATTGAGGAAAGAATTGGGAGACTAGAAAGAGATAGTGTTTACTGGTTTACTGGATATTTGCTGGTTGTATGGGAGAAGAAGAACAAAAGAGATATTTGGAAACTTCTAGGCCCTAGACCTAAAATGTGAGGTAAACTAGTCTGACCCCTGTCCATTGCAGAAATCTACTACTAGAGCACCCTAGACAGGTAAGCATCCAGCTTCTGTTTAAAGATTTCCAGTGAAGGAGAGTACTCCACTGTAATCTGTTCTATTGTTGAACAGCTCTTGCCACTAGGATTTTTTTCCCCTTCTGTCCAGTCTAATCTACTTTCTAGTAATTTAAACCTACTGTTTTTGGCGGTGTCTTTTGGTATAACACATCTAGTCCATCCTCAGCATGGCTGCCATTCTGATATTGTCTTCTCTTCTCTGAGGTAAATGCATCCAGTGCCTCCAACTGTCCCTCATAAGGTTTCTTTGGGCTTTTTCCCCACAGCCTCTTATCATCTTGGTTGTTGCCCTCTGGATAAGCTAGTTTATCAATGCCCTGCCTAGAACTGGATCCAGTATTCAAAGTGCAGTCTGATCCAAGCAGAATAAAGAGGAATAGACTCCTCTTGATCTTAACACTATACTTCTGTTGATGCAGCCTAAGACTGAATGTGACTTTTTGTTGCAGCTACATTACATTCTTGGCTCATGTTCAACTTGTAGTACACCCAGTCCTTTTAGTGCTTCTGTCCAATAAGGTATCCTGCACCCTATATTCATGCTTTTGATTTTTCTTACCCAAATGAAAGACTTTGCATTTGTCTCTGTTGAAATTCATAATCTTGATTTCTCCATTGTTCCATCTTGTCAAGATCCTTATAAATCTTGATACAGCCCTCTAAGGTTTTTGCTATCTCCTCTATTGTTATATAATCTGTAATTTTGCTAATCATATTTTCGCACCTCTCATCCAAGTCATTAATAAATAAGTTGAACTGCACATGGTCCAGGACAGAATTCTTCCTTCCTTTACACATAAGCAGTTGACATTTACTTGATGGGAATGATAAGTCAACCAGCTCTTTATCCATTTAAAAGTCAAGCTCACATTTTGCCATCTTGTCCACTTGAAGCTCATGGAACATTATTCTGAATGCTTTGCTGAAGTCAAGGTACACTGTATCAACTTAATTTTCATGGTCAATTAAACTGGTCACTCTTTCGAAAAATATTAGGCTGTTTTGTGATATGTTCTTGATAAACTCATGTTGGCTCCTGCCAAGCAGTGCACTCTATTCTAAATGTTTAAAACACTGACTATTTAATAATGTGTTGCACAGTGTTATCCACTATTGATGACCAGTCTGTACATATCCAGGTCCTCTTTTACCCTCTTTTTGAATGCTACTGTCCTAGCATTATGCCCATTCTCCATGAGTTCACAAGATCATAGAAAGGGTTTTTGAGAAGACATCTGCAAGTTCCTTCAAGAATCTGGGATATAACGGGAGACTTAAATTCATTAATAGTGGTCATGTGCATTCTAACCAACTTTTTAATTCTGCAGGAGGGTCCAGTGATATCTTTCCATGCTCCTTTAACCTTGGCACAATCTAAGGTTTTGCTACAAGAGTTACACAGGAGGAAACAAAAATTTATGTTATGTAAGAGCTTTGACTGAACTAACAGCACACAAGAAAGGAAAGTGAGGGGAACTCATAGCAGTAAGAAGGGAACAAAGATTATCTAATTTGCTTCTTCGTGCTTCCTAGAGGGGACCCTGTTTTGAAATCTTAGTTGCATAGTGAACATCCCAAAGTAAAGACTAAGGGAATAATAATAATAATAATAATAATAATAATAATAATAA